GTGCTCTCGAAATGGAGTTGGTGAATTTCTTGTCGGACGCCTTTGCCTCTAAAGGTTTATCGAACTTCTTCTCCTCGTTCAACAACCATTTGTGTTGAAGTTCCGATACCGCTTTCTCCTGCCTGCTCAACTGGTGTCTCCAAAACTCCAGCTTGATGGTTCTTTTCACCTGCCACCACAAGCTTTGCCACCGCTTCGCATAGCTCATCAGGGTAGCGTCCCGCCTTGACTGTCTTGGATTTGCCTATGAGGGGCTCGTGGATGATCCATGCCGGACAGCGACAAACTCTGCTCAATGGTGCAAGGCCCTCCAACTTTCCTGCCCACATGGCCGGCTTGAAGTGTCGCACCTTGAGTTTCTGCTGGAAGGAGCACGTGTTGAAGGGGACCTTGTTGGCGCCTACCTTTTCCAGGGACTGCTTTAACTCAGGTAGTTCCCATCCCGTTCCGCACTTGTCATCACCTGGGGGATTCTCCAAAGTTGCAGCCGACGGGACTCTTCTGCCTCGATCGGATTCCACCTGTGCTTCCATAAGCCACCGATCGTGCCCTTGTCGGCCTCTGACTGTCGCTCTTTCGGGTTCGAACTGAGTCCATAGATCTCTGCCAAGGAGCGCACTGGCGGGGGCCAGGGGTTTTCGACCACCTCGCAACTGAAAAGGAGCAACATGGGAAACCAGCGTGCATCCCATCGTATTCCCCAGCCCTCACTTCCTGGCAAAGCTCACGATGCTGGTTTACATCAGTCATGTCCAGGTCCTTGTTCACCAGCTTGTCCAGGGACGTTACCTCGCAGCCCCGGCGCTCCTTCGTCGCCTCCGCTTTTATTGCCTTGCCCAACACGTCCTCAGGACCTGAGTAAACATGCAAGTATTTGAAAACTCGCTTGCGCCTGTACTCCTCAAAACTGCTAACCCCATTGAGTGCCTCTTTGACCCGATCCGGCAACTTTGCCTCCGGTAGCTCCGCAGCCGCGTGGCCAGGCTCAATCTTTGCCTCGCTTGCTCTCGGAGCTTCTGCAGGAATGTGCCCAGTCTTCTGTCTCTTTGACTCCGGCTCCAGAAGGCTCACATCAGCGTCAAGGCCCGGGTCATCGTCGCCCCAGTCCACGCCGAGTTCACCCTCAGCCATCCTTGAGCAGAAGACCGCTCACCAACTCAACTGCAACCTTTTTTTCAAGCAAACCACAAGTTACATGTTTATGACAACTGATCCCTTTTCAAACATGCAATGCAAAGTGCAAAAGTCGACAACAACCAAAAAAAACAACAAAGTTTTCATCACAAACCAGATTCAAGAAATTGAGCCAAGGCTATGCTTTGCAATCCTTGTCCTGGTGAGACGGGCTGAGGCACTTGCGGCACTTATGTGCCCTTTTAATTGATCCTTTACACTCTCCACCGGGGGGAACGTTTGCACATGACCCGCTGTTGGACGCCCAGCTGAAACAGAGTGGAGCTCCAGCTTGATCTTTGCTCTTGGACTTTCCCTTACCCTTCGACGGGCCTTGACTTTTGTCATGCCCTTTGTCGTAGGATGCCTTGAGCAACTTTAACTCCTGTAGATCTGCTTGCGCTCTCTTCCTCTTTCTGAGCATCTTCTCTCGTCTGGCGTCTTTGGACCCTGTTGCTCTCTCTTCTTCAGATTCTTCACGGAGTCCTGGAAACTGAGACGTCACTGCGGCCCCTCCTGCAACAGTTGGGGCTCCTTTACCTCACGATGCCAACCATGAAGCTGCCGGCACGCGCACTTTCTCTGACCAATACTTCTCATCTCCTATCAGAGACAAGAACACACATGACCATGGGTCGTTGGCATCCCAATCATGTGGCACCTGACGACCTCTGCTTTGCTCCAGGGTCCAATGTCGCCTCCATTTCTCCAGCTTTTCAGCTCTTGCCGTGTCATCCGCACTATAGATCAGTCCCCAGCATTGGGGCCATTGCATCACCAGCTTCTCGATGTGCCTGTAGTATAGGTCTCCAACGAGGCCAGGCTGCAGATCTTCAGCATGATTGCAGCGGCTCGGAAAACTCTCCAACACGCAGACCAAGCCATAAAGTTCCCCGGACCCGGTAAGTCACGTTGCAAAAACTGACCATTGCCCAACGGTGTGAAAACCCTGAAACGCTGAGTCTTTGCAGCCCTCCTCTCAAATGGGGACCAAACTGCGAAATCCACATAGGGAGCCGCCAGCATCTTTATCACTCTTTTGTTGAAAGCCACCAGTTGATTGGCCGTGGGTTCCTCGATGTCATCTGGCATTGCCCCCATAACCATCACGAAATTCTGAGTCCAAACATGGATTTCATCCAGGGTTGGGGGCATGAGCTCTGAATCATCACTTTGATCTACTAAAGCAGCCATTTTGAGAACATGTTCTTTAACTCCCGTAGATGTTTCCCTTGTTGCCACCGCTGGTGTCCCCGTATCTTGTGGAGCCCAAGGATCAATGTCTACGAACTGTGACTCTTCCAACCCAGAAGCCATTGCCGTAGCCCTCCTTGCCGTTCGCCAGCACAGCCCCACTTGGGTCGCCTCCACTGGGTTCAATGGGGATCCATCATTTTTGACGGATTGTCCAACTGCCGCCACAACCGCTACCGCTGGTAAAGCTGCCAGAACTCGAATGTCATTGCCAAGGGGACCGATGTGTTGAAGCCAACTGTTCCATGCTTCGTCCCCGATTCCCACGTCCCGCAAAACGTCATTGACATTCTGACTGTTGCCCAAGCCGTTCCATGGCCCAAACATCTAAGACCCGCGAACGACTCTAACAACCAGCCTCTAAAATTAAAATCTAAAAGGTCAAGGCTCAGGTTCAGAGCCTTGAGCCAAAATGGCATGGCCACCAACCCATGCCTCACATTCACCTATGGTGTTTGTCGACACCGCTGGTTTCTCTCAGTAATAACCGGGGTACTTATGCAAAACCTCATGGTAAGACAACCCAACATGTTGGCCAAACGTGAACTTGTTATCTGACCCATCAGGCAAGCTTTCACTTCCCTGTGCAGAGGCTGGGACACGGGTCCGACGTGCTCTGTCCTTGCGGGTGTCACTGACCATGCTGAAATCACCTGAGTCGGCTGATCCACCTGCTGCTGATCCACCTGCTAAAGGTGGTGCCTTTGCAGAGCATCTGGAAACTGGGGTCCTGTAAGCCATGAATGCAGCATGTTCTTTCTCCTGACATGAACGCACATGCAAAACACCGTGCTCACCCCCAAATGGCTTCTCATCACTAATTGCCATGTACCCTACACCAGGCTTGGATTCCTGGGGCTTGAGGGGTGGCTTCTTCCCCTGGCTTGGGAATTTACAAATGGGGTCACCTGCCCAGTGTCCGGTGCTTCCGCATCGAAGGCACTGGGAACGAGCTTTCAGCTCTGCCAAATGCTTGACTCGATCCTGTACACTGAGCTGTGTTCGGAAAATGTGCTTTCCTTTGCCTTTGCCTTTATCCCTGCCTTTGAAACCCTTGGTCTTCCCCTTGTGGGTGCCAGTGGCCATGTAACCCACGTAAAGCTGTTGGGCAGCTTCTGCAAGATCATCCAGCCCTTCAGCTGGTGTCTCATCATGGTCACACTCGGCCATGGCGACCAAGGCAACTGCGGTGTTATCATCTTCGACATAGTCCCACTCAGTGGGCTGTTCTGATTCATCGTTGTGGGCCATGTACCCATGTTCATCGTAGTGTTCTTCGTGCTCATCTTCTCCGTGATACTCCTCTGGCTCATGCCAGGTCTCCTCATTGGCTTCTGATCAATGCCAGGGCTTTTGCGACCCTTTGGATTGTCCTTTCTTCTGGGGGTAGTTGGGACTGGATTTGTACTGTGGTGCAAGGGATCTGGAATCCTTCAAATGAATTCTTCCATGGTGCTCAAGCAAGATGGCTGCATAGTCATCGAACGTATGACTCTTGGAGGCAGTTCTGATCATGAGCTGCTCCTGCTTGGTCAAACCAGCACCCTCTATGAGAAGCTCAGCACGCATCTGATCAGAAATCAGCATGTTGGAATCAAGCTCCTTCACTTGGCGCCACCATCTGCGGCGTCTTGAAATGAAGGAAGTCACTGACTCCCCTGTCTGGCGTGACAAGGGGCCATGTTGCATCTGCCCTACTCGGAAAAGCTCCTTGGCTTCCAAGGATTGCAAGGGAAAGATCATCTTCTTCAAGGTGGCGATCAGGGTCTCAATTCCACCATCCTTCATCAAGGTCTCAACTCCAAGGTCCTGAGCTGCCAGGTAGGCATCACCTCTCAGGCCTTCCAACACCTTCTGCACCAACTCAGCTCTCAGGGAGTCAATTTCTCCTGATAGCTGTTCATCCTCGACTAGGCCAGGGAAACTAGGCGCAGCACGAGGTGAAGCATAGTCAGGACGCTCCTCCTCTTGCTCACCATCTCCCTGTCCATCACGTCCAGTCTGCCCATCTTCAGGACTTCCAGGATCGCTATGCCCTCGTGCTCCGGGCGCATCAGTCTCCTGGGCGCCACCATCATCTCCTCGTCTTACGACGGGACTCCTTTCAGCACGTCCTCGTTCAGGTGAAGCTGACGTAGCCTTGAATCTGTGCTCCAAGACCTTCTTCTTGATCTTCTGCTTGAGGAACTCCACACGTATTCGAGTCCTGAACTCCCACTCATGGAATCCACTAGGGCTACCAGAGTAGATGTACGAACCAGATTTGGTCTCTTGAGGTGCCGTGCCAAAGGTCGTGGACTGATACCTCAATCCTGCAAGGGACATTGATACAGTCCTTCTTCTGATCAGCAAAGCTGTCTCGGGTCTTTTGATTAGCACTAAGCTGTCACACACACACACACACGCACAATCTCACCGTCCTGGATCTGCGAGTTACTGTGAGAGTCAAATCCCGGGGATCACCCTCCGGAACCTGCTCCGCTACCAGTTTGAATCTCGGCTGGATCCTTTTGTTCGTCGCCACGAAAAGCTCAAGGGCCCTCAAGGGAGCCAAAAGGTGCGTGACATAACAGTCATTCACAACCAGGCTTCTCTAAGACCATGCAAGTGACAGCGTGGAATCACACCTGTATATATATATATGTATTTACTGTATATATATATATATGTGTGTGTGTATATGTATATATATATACACTCATGTAGTTTATGTTTCACAAATTCTTGCAGATTATCTGTCGAGTCGGCACTTGTTTATGTAATGTCTAAATACCTATATACCCTCATATACTTCGCGAAACCCAACTCTAAGTGCTCACTAGAGGTCAAATCATGCTTCACACGCTCTGAGATTGCTTTTCACTCGGTGATGCCATCGGAAGCTGGCACAGCAGGTTCAGCAAATGCCTAGATCTGAAAGAAAACTGGACCATAACAAGCAGCATCATTTCACCCATTCAGCTGAACGAATGCAGGCAAAGGTGATCAAAGATGAATCATAACAACAAAGGAACACACACACACACACACACACACACTAGACAAGAATGGATCATTATATGATCCGTCAGGAACTGAATCCTGAAACATGCAAACCAGCCTAGATTATCAGTGCAGCAAATTGTATAATATTGTTGTTGGGGTTCTAAGCTTGGCCCCTTGCTATGTCGGAGAAAGCAGGTACGTGGAGTTGATCAGACTCCATATCCTAGTCAACTGCATGGAGCTTCGTTGGCGACAGCCATGCAGCGACCCTGTCGCCCCCTGCATTAAATTAATTTAGATTTAGAAAGGGAGAGGACAAAGGAAGAAAAAGAGAGAGAAGAAGTTTTACATCTATTCAGATGTTACACACACACACCCGGCCGGAGCCGGGTCAACCCTGAAAGGCAAGAGGAAGAAAAAAGCGGACACACGACGGGCAAACGGCCAAAAACAGCGCAGGGGGGGGAGGGGAACAGACGGACCTCCGGAACCAACCTACACGGCGAAACGGACCTAACAAAAACAGCGCACACACCTAAACCCCACGACACATTACGGAGAGGCACGCGGGGAGAATTAGGGACCAAATGGGGGACTAGTTGATGACCGACAGGAAAACCAAAACAATTAATTATAAACAGGATTCAGTCCCTAAATGCCTAAAAAGTCGTGCGATTATTCCCTGCACCGGGACCGTGGTCAAGTCGTGCCGCAATGGCATAAAACAGCTTCCAAGTTTCAACGAATTAGATGCACAATATGTTTCACCTCACCAAAAACCAAAGAGACCACACCTGCAGGAAAAGGACATGCCTGTTGCCTTTTGTCGTGAATGTCATGTTGAACTTCAAATGCGCAAGCTGCAGTGATAAAAAGGAAGTTTCTGGTAGTTCGAAGCAGCTTCACTTGAAAGATCAGATCACTGGGGACCCTGGGACAGCCGGAGCAGCAGGAAATCTCAAAATGGCTGATAAACCGCAAGGCTGATTGTTGCCCTTTACTTAAACGAATTACTAAGTTAAAATGTGTGAATTCAGAATTCAAGTCTGTCAACACTCACCCTGAAAAGGGTTGCCTCCAATGGCTCCATGGCACCATGTCGGAGCCACCATGGAAATCACACTAGACAAGAATGGATCATTATATGATCCGTCAGGAACTGAATCCTGAGACATGCAAACCAGCCTAAGGATTTATCAGTGCAGCAAATTGTATAATATTGTGGTTGGGGTTCTTAGCTTGGCCCCTTGCTATGTCCGAAAAAAGGCAGGTACGTGGAGTTGATCAGACTCCATATCCTAGTCAACTGCATGGAGCTTCGTTGGCGACAGCCATGCAGCGACCCTGTCGCCCCCTGCACTAGGTTTAGAAAGGGAGAGGACAGAAGGAAGAAAAAGAGAGAAGTTTTACATCTAT